ATGTTTTCATGCATAATAAGATAATCAGTAAAAGGTATTAAAATGTACGTCTGTTCTATTCCATGTTGTGAAAGTTAAATGTCGTACCATTTCTCCCCTTAGATTGTAATTATCCCTCTGTATTCACTCAGCTGTCTTGAACACGAATGGGTTTAGGTGGAAGTAGCAGGGCACTCTCAGCTCAGAAAAGACAAAGCTTTGCTGAACCAGAGCTGTGCTCAGCCCAGACTCCTTGCCCTGTCCAGAAAATACCAGTCCATCTTGCAAGAATGTAGGATGAAGATAAGTGAAAGGGAGATTTCAAGTTGATCTTATTCTTTCTCTGTAACTGACCTTGTTATTCCTCCTAAGATTTCAGAGTAATTTTACTCCAGAAATTAATATTTTATCACTGTTATGAAATTYCTGAGACTTCCTATCAAAAGTAATCAATAATAAAAAAATAAAATAATAATATCACTGTCAAGTGATCTGGTTTATTGGTCATCTCACTAATAATGTACCTTATTGCTTTCCATAGAAAGTAATTGCTAACAAAAAATACACAAAAGAAAGAATGGAAAGGGGGGAGGGAAGAAGGAACCCACAAAGTATTACTAATAAAATATTTTTTAATTTAATTTTTTGTTTTTGTTAGTGGTGCTGGGGATGGACACTAGGCCCTTGAGCATGCTAGGCAAGCACTCTAACACTGATCTATGTCCTCAGCCTCTCATTAAATCTTGAAATAGTAGCAAAGTACCTTAAATGCACAGAGAGCCCAGCCTTCCCTGCCTGGGTAAGGGGAACTTACTCTTATCTGAAGGACAATCTTGCCTTGACTCTTCAGATCCATAGTAATGAGCGGTGATATGAATCCTGGATACATTATTTTTCATGTTCTTTAAACTTAATTATTTTACCTAGGAACACAAAATTATGAGCACTGAATTTCACTAAAAAATACTACTTAGTTTGAGAGGATGAAATAATTTCCTCACCTTATACTTAAAGTATAAAACCAAGCTTTTAAATTTAGATCATTAATTCTTGAGGAAATAGAAAAGAACACATTAAATAACAAAGCCACACTAGAACATCAAAAGACTTGTAGAAATTTTGTTTTTCCTGCAGTTGGTTAATCAGTAAAGGAAAAAAGTTATGAGAAGCTGTTATAATTTCTAGTAATGTCTTGAATCTGTGTTACCTTCCACCTTCCTGATTCCCACATTCTCATCCAACAAAAATAAGAAACTCAGAACATTTGACATACAGTAGCAGTTGAAAAATTTTAACTCTTTTCCTTTTATAGAGTTTTTAAAAATAGCTTTATGGTTGTTTTAGGGTTTTTTAAAAAATAGTTTTATAGAGAAATGTTTAGTAACTTTTAGGTTATATGATGCTTTAGTATATCCATTGAGTTGTAATTTTGGAGACATTTTTGGTTTTATCCTAGAAGGAATAGTCTAATTTCTCCCCAGAAATCATGGAAATAATAACAAACAACAACAACAAAACCAGTCCAGTTTGACTGAGGGGCTCATTTTAATTTTTGTTGGTATTCACTAGGGCTTTTCACACAAATACATGTGAATAACTTCTAAAATGTCCAGTACTGGAAAAAGCAGTTTGGAGAGCTTGAAAGTGTTAGCTCTCACTTATATTTCTTGAAATATCCTCCTGAGATGGCTTGCTAATTCTTGAAGTAGTTCTCTGCCTCACACTGAATCAGTTTGGGAAAGAAAAAAAAAATCTACCCTGACAACTCAGCCCATAAAATTCTCTCTACTTATAACCCTCCAGTACCATCTTTCGCCTTGGGAAGCTGGATCTTCACTGCTGTGCTCTTTCTGTGTGCCCTGGTCCCCTTAAGGAGAACTGAGCCCTCTGGAGTCCTTCTCTAGTTGTACCTACTCCCCACCCAGTCAGAAAAATCTTTCTGGAACATCAATCAGACTTCTCATCTTAAAACACTTTAGTGATTCCCTTGACATGCAACATAATAGCATTTCTCAAAACAATAGCTGAGAAATTCTAGAAAAAAAATAAATTTTATTCATTTTTTATAATAAAAATAATTAACAAGCATACTCTGGTTCCTCAGAATGGATACCCTATAACTGAATACAGTACTCATATTCATGGTTGGGTGACAATGATGCCAAATCTTGTACTTTCTAATGAAGTATTTCTTTCTAAAAATGACCCAGAACCTGTAGCCACATTCTCAGAGAAATTTCCCTTTTGAAGAGATCCAGAAATTACTTACTTGTGAGAACCAATAGCCTATAGGACAGGATTCAAATGTTCCAAAGTAGATGAATTTGTTGATTCATTGTCAAATTTGTGATCTTTATCAGTTCTTCCACTGATCTCCTTCACATTGTCCCCTTGTACCCTGCTCTCAGCCTTTGAGTGATAAGCAGTCCTTGAATAAGCTGGGTCATTTCAAGCATTGACTACCTTTTCTTAAACTGGTCTTTGCCATTGGTAACTCCTTTCATGTGCTCTACCCATCTTGAAAACCACTCTGTAGACAGACTTTTCTGAAGATCCATCCCCAGAGACTGTTGAAAACTCCCAACTTGGCTGCAATTATTCTTATCACAAGTAATTTTGTCATCCATAAACTATGTCCCAAATTTAGTGGCTTAAAACAACAATATCACTTTGTTTCAGAGGGTCAGGAAATGTGAGTGAGCCTTCGCTGAGTCCTCAGGTTCTGTGACTCTCTCAGGTTGCAGTGCTTCCTCGTGACTTCTATGGGAAGGTGTGGGAGGGTTCCCTTCCCAATGGCTTTTGTTACTCATGACCTGTTGTGTATGGTCTTTCTTTGGTTTTTGGACTCACAGCATGAGGCTTGCTTCACCAGAACAAAGGGGAGGGCAAGAGAGAGTGGTACCACGAGAGAATGTGTCCCAGTTTTTTTGTAACTGAATCACCAAATTAACTTGCCCTCATGGTTGCTAGGTTCTGCTCTTTAGAAAAAAGGTTCTAGGTCTAGCCCACATTCAAGAGCAATGGGTTACATACTAAGTGGGGAAGTTGGATGTCTGGGGACTATCTAAGGAGTCTGTCTCAGCAGGCTCTAGGACATCTTTATGCAGACCCAGGTGAGGTTGCTGTGATTGGATGGATGCTGTTTTTCCTCTCAGTTTCACTTCTCTGCCTCTTTAGTATGGGCATCTTGAAGCTGTGATTGTGATTCTAGGGTTTAAAGAATCACAATCTTTAAATATTTTAAATAATCTGGCTCCTAAATGCCATTTGAAAGTCAACTCCCTCGTCTGATCTTCAAGTGAAGAAAAAATGGTCTATTTTAGTGATGAAAGAAGAACTCTCTGGGTTGGACTTACTAAGTAAAGGTGATATAGCTCACTGAGACAGTGCTTTCTTAAGAGATTTGCAAATGTAATTCTGACTATTTTGGATTTATGTCCTGAATTCAACTTCTACACTGGAGTAAGAGGAGAGTCTTCTGTGTTTTTTAATGTGACCCGTATAAAACTCTGGGGCTCTTTGTTTGCTTGCCTCTGTTTTAGCTGGGAACTACTCAACAGTCTGGTCCATGCCTAATTCATATCTAGCATCAACACTTCCAATATGGTTCCAATATGGTTTTTGAAATATGTCCTAACTTGCTTTTTCTGTGTCTCAAATGTATCCAGTATGAAATTCTAAATTTACAGTGCATTGCTATTGTTTAATAGATCTGAATGCTATAGAACTTTCTTTGGCATGCATGATTAAAAAGAGTGCCTTGGGTCCATGATACTTATAATTTCTGTGTTATTTTACTAGTTAGTTAGGGCTGTAGCAGTTTTTGACCTTGAATCAAAATTCTCTTCTTTTTTCTCCACACTTTTCAAATATTTTGTCCTTTGAAGTCAAGGGAATTGCCCTGATTTTATGATGACATTTGGGCACGATATTTAAACTGCTAAAAGTTATAAAAACGACCCTTTGGTATTCATTGTAATAAATGGCTCTGCATTGAATACATGCACAGGTTCTCCTGTTCAAGCGTTGTGAGCCCAGACTGCTCCAGTTGCATATTCTCATTGTAATTGGATTCCATGACATTCTGTCACCCCCCAAGATTGTGCCTGCCTGTGGAAATTCCTCCCTGCTTGGGGATGGTGTAGACTCTGGGTCTTGTGAAGTTTGGCTTTCATCTCTAGACTTGTAACATTTGTAKAACTGCTGGTCCTCTACAATCCTGAAGAGGCATATTTGTTTCTGTTGTAAAATAAAACATATATATATATATATTTCCCCTAAGAGCAACCCTCAAATAAAGGGGCTGACTTACTTATAGAATTTACCCATTTTTGCTCAACCTCAGCTCATAGAGAATATTTTCTTTATAGATACATGGTATTCATTTGTCCTGGATGGTATTTTCTTTTAACTCTAAAATATTATCATGTTCAAATGTTTTAGACCATAAACCCTCAATATTAGAACTTATTCTCTTCTTTCATCCTGTTGTGATATCTTTCCCCTTTCTATACCCACTATAACACGTAAAAACACCCCAGACACATTTTCAATTAGGAGTAAGCATACACCAAAAGTCTCAGGTTTATTGGTGATGTATTAGAGTAGATTAGAGATAAGGAGTTGGAAGATGTCTTGGCTCTTGTAGGGAGGATAGGTATGTTCCAGAAGGCTTTGCTATAACATGCAGTTTCTCTATGTGAATAAAGAAGGGTGCAGGCTCTCCTTTGACCCCCTAAATGTACCAGAGCGTGTTGCTGCCATGAAATTGTACTGTAATATTTTCTAGCTGTGATTCATTCACAGTTTAATATGCTTCTAGTACTGGCTTGACTTTTCCCCCAGGAAGAGCCTAAAATCTCTTAATTATAATATAGACAGTGTACTGCACTTTGAATACAAATTTATCCATGTTCAGACTAATTTTTCTTGTGATTGTCTCTACCCTGGAGAAGTGCCTTTAATGAATTACATACAAATTGTGTAATTTAAGAAGTTAATTTGGTTTTCTGGTTACACAGGACTAAAAACAGCCCTTGTAGAAAGAGATGATTTCTCATCAGGGACCAGCAGCAGAAGCACTAAATTGATCCATGGTGGGGTGAGATATCTTCAGAAGGCCATCATGAAGTTGGATATTGAGCAGGTAATTGTGTATGCTGGTTGTTAAACAAAAATTGCGACTATGCTTTTTCTACCCAATTAAATCGGACTCTTTTTTTTTTTTAAATGGCTTTTAACATTTCTTCCTATTGGAAACACCTATTTAGTGTATGCTGYCATAATATCTTTCAGGAGAGGTGTGTCAGTTCTTTCCTGTAGTATTATGTTTATAGGTAATCAGGGGCTTTTTCTACAGAAGTATGTCAAAGTAGCAGATTTACAAAATCACTTTGGATGTGTTGCCTTTTAACAATTGTGATTGGGTTTTTGCCAGTGGCCACCAAATTGCTCCTTTGCAAGCTGTTTCAGGGGAGCTGTGTTGTAATGCAGAGGGAGTGCCAAATTGATCCTCTTAACTGCAACTGCAATCATACGCTTATATTGTCACTGACATATTCCTAAGGAAAAGATGATCTGAGTCATGCTTTTCCTATGTCACACTTTATTGTGTCCAGTCTGCCACCATTTGAAAACTGCCAAGGCAGTGTGGAAGATGACATTTCCCAGAGGGGTAAAAAAAAAGAAAAAAATCAGCTGCACTCCCTATCTGCTTTTCGTACATGAAAAACACAGAAGCACTGACTTGACATTGTCAAGTTTTGAATCTGTCCCCCTTTTTTTTCCTTGACAAGTTAGTTTTGAATCTGTCTCTTTTCCCTATGTTTCTCTTCAGTATCATGATGAATGCAAAAAAGAAAGAAAGAAAGAAAAAAAAACCAGCATGGATTTAGAGTCAGCTAACTGATGATGTGTTCTGCATTATCTGCTGAATATCTATGAACCTTAATCTTTTTATTTGTGAAATTAGTATTATAATAGTAATGCTAGCTCTTTAGAGAGGCATAATGATAATCACAGGAGTTAAGTTAAAAGCTTTTTTTAAAAAATAATCTACCTGTAAAATACCGTGCAACTGCTGCATACCATCTTTGCTGGATTTAGTGAAGGCAAGAAGGAAACTTTTAGCATGAATTTGAACAATCTGTTATCTCTAACCTGGAAAAAATATTATGGGGAACTGAGAAAGGGGGACAATACAGAGAATGCAAGATAAATGGTTACAATAATCTTGTAACTCAAGTCAGGAAAATATCTTACACCTGGGAACTCTGACAGCATGTTTTTCTCCTATGCAAATACAGTTAAGGTTTCTAAAAAATCTTTGAGGTTGACAGCATGATGTATTATTAGAAATTTGATTAGGAGGGAGCTATCCTCGCTCAGAGGTAGAAGGTTTCTGTGTATCAATCAGTTGGCAGGGTGTCTATTTGCCATTTGAAAATATTATGATCTGTTACTGCCAAACTAATTTTCTCTGTTTTGATTTTCAGTATAGGATGGTAAAAGAAGCCCTTCATGAGCGTGCCAACCTACTAGAAATTGCTCCCCATTTATCATCTCCATTACCTATAATGCTTCCAATTTACAAGTAAGCCTTTTGGTATCACCTGTATACTATTGCATGTCTGAGGTCAATAGAACAACACAGTTTTAATGGAAATAATCCCTCCACGTGTGTTACTTAATGTGGTTTTAAGTAGTCGTAATCTTGAGTCCCTTTCAAACATTTTCTTAGGTGTATTTAAAACGTGGATTTTCCTAAATACTCTGCAGACTTATCTCTACAGATCAGACCTTGAAAGCAATGGAGGTTGTGTTCTGTTTTTATAATTRGCAGTATCTTATTCCATTTTCTGGGAGTATGTATATGAGAAACTACATCTGTGCTAAGGAATATTAGAGAGTCATGTGCAGGGTGTAAAATACAGACCCAAATGGTACTGTGTTGCAAAATCTGAAACTACAACATAGCAACTCAAAACTCAACTATTTGAGGTCATTTTAAATGTCTGAGCTAGCAAAAACTGAAATTTTGCTAGGAAATATCAGGTTATAAATTAGAAAATCCAGTTTCCTAATGTTGTGGAAACTATCTGTGATGTTGCCTAAGTTTGTGTATTCAGGTTCAGTAATATGAAACAAAGTGGATAGTGCAGCTCATTTAGCTGCATTAATGTAGTGAGGGCTTGAAATAGATATTACAGTTTTGGCCATCTTTTGCTCTAGATTTCTGAGAATTTCTTAGATCAGTGATTCTCTTTGCTGGGTGCATGTTATAGTCGCCTGGCCCTACCCTACTCTATTTACATCAGTCTCTGGATATGTGAGGGCCAGGTGTTTGTATTTATTTTTAATGTTCCTCAAAGAGGTGTAATATATAGCCAGAATAAGATTCTTGGAGAAGATTCATTTGAAATCTCACTGATTCATTTACTTATATACTTCAGCTAGATTGCTGTCAAAAATAGTTATATAGGGCTCCTGTCCCTTTTGTAGGTATGCTTTGTTTTTCTTATATGAAAAGTCTCTTAGCCAGGTACAGTGATGCTTGTCTATAATCCCAGTGACACTGGAGGCCAAGTCAGGAAGATTGCAAGTTTGAGGCCTGCTTTAGCAGCTTAGTGTGACAAGAACTCAAAAAAAAGGAGAAAAGTTTCTTGTAATTTAAGGTGGCATTCTGTTACATTATACTCTGTTTCTAAAGAAACCGTTTTCCCTGTTTATGCTGTAGATGGTGGCAGTTACCTTACTACTGGGTAGGAATCAAGCTGTACGATCTGGTTGCTGGAAGTAATTGCCTGAAGAGCAGTTATGTCCTCAGCAAATCAAGAGCCCTTGAGCATTTCCCCATGCTTCAGAAGGACAAACTGGTAGGAGCGATTGTCTACTATGATGGTAGGTGATGTTTTGATTTTTTTTTTACAAGATGTTTTCTCTCTTACTGTGACCCCTTAGAACATACTATGACCCTTACAGTAAATTCTTAATGAGGTACTTTTGCAGTCTTACTTTTAATGCTAATCTTAGACAGCATACAAATGCACACGTGTACATGCACTGGTTCACCATTTTCTTTAGCACTGACTGAAAACTACCTATAATGTTTTTGCTTCTAATGTTGTTTATTTTACATACTCCTTTTCTTCTCTAATTTCTACATGTGTCTCATGGTTGGTTTGGTCCATTTCTCATTGTTATGGATTTGGACCCCACCCTCGTGCCATTTAATTTGTTATATGTTTGCCAGTGAATACTTGCCTTATGAATATATTATAATGTTGAAAGCAGCTGAGGATCTGTTAGGTTTTCTAGATGAAACCTCTATTTTCAAGGGGTTATAAACCTAGAGAAAAATGCCCCTTGGGCTGAAATTGACATATTTGTATTTTGCATAGGACACATTCTTGAGAATATAATTTATGTAATGAAGGTAGATAAACATTGCATCTGTTAAACCAAACCCTAAGATTTTATTGCTTATTTTATTGCTGTTAGATGTTTTCTAACAGTGACATTACCCAGTGTCCATTTGCTGTGTGTTCAATATGAATTCTTTGTGTCTGTGTGTGTGTGTGTGTGTGCACATAGAATATATTTTTGTGCACTTTTATTTAAAGGAACTCTAAACATTTAGTATAACTACAGAAGGGGCACAAAACAAAATAGTCAAAGCCATTTGTGAAATTTTACTGGTAGTTTTAAAAGGTGTGTGGGACTGGAAAATGGTCCAAGGATATCCATTTACAAGGAAATAGCTGGACACAGATAATTATACTTGTTCAAAAGGTCTTAGAAATTTTGTGAACAAAGCATAGCTTAGGCTTTGTATCTCAGTTACTCTCCCTTTTTCACATTATGTTATCTTTTATCTTTGATGTTAGATATCTAAACTCTTAGCATGTAGAATTTTTTTGTTATTGTTGTTTAAAGAGACTTTCATATCTATGCTTCATATTATGGGATGTCCTCAAGGCCAACCCTACCTTTTTTCTTCTTCTTTCCAGTGTTTTGTTTCTGAATCAATTCAGCTGTCTTTCATATATAAATGCAAAATGTGTATGCTAAGGGGACCACAGGGGCCAAACTGAAGAAAATGTCCCAGGAGCAACAATATTAGAAAAAATGTTAAGGGTCTTAGACAAACATTAAAAGCTAGAAAATTAACAGTTTGCAGTGCCTTCCCACATCTGACCACCACAGGGGGGCCACTTAACCACTTTTTTGGTGCCCTAGATTGAGCCTACATGTTAAAGGACAACCTTGACTGTGAATTTGCTTTCTCTGCATCAGACCCTTAATGTTCATCCATTGTAGTTTATTAAGTGATTACAGTAAAGAGGTTTTTGGTTTAGGAGAAGTAAGAAGGCATTCTGTAAATAGCATCTTGCTCATCTTGACATAGAAATGTTTGTTGCCTTTGCTTTTATTACTCATCCTTTTCTTATAAACCTTCTCAAATTTTTATTCTTTTTCTATATCATGTGTTGTATTGGGCAACCACTAATTTTATTTATTAGGTTGTGCATATCTGAATCACCTCATGAGGTATATTATTGGATATCATATCTGAATTTGTGACTGTCATGTGTTACTTTCGCATTCTTATGAATTATAGATTCTTATTGATTCTACATGGAAAAACCAAAGAAAATCTATGTTACATAATGAAGAGGAAACATTATTCTACTAGAATTAAGAGAAAGAAGAATTTCTTTAGTCTAGAATTGATCTTTATAGCTTGTTATAGGTTGTAAAATTGTAAGTTGTGAGCAAAGATTATTGAAAAATTTTAAAATTGTTATTGAAAATAATTTCAAATTGCTAACTTGGAAATTGGTTGTAAAATCTTAAATAATGAACTGAACAAGAATTATTTTCAATATAATTCTATTCTGATTATTATTTGCTGTTACACCTTGTTCTGAAATGATATAGACCTAACTATGTCATACCTGAGGTGAGGCAAAACAAAAATATACAACAGTAAGGTTCTTTGGTTTTAAAGCTGTATTCACAGATAGAGACAACTCCTGTTTTACCTAATATAATGTTATGGGCAAATTAAGAATCTGCATGGAAATAACTTACAGAGGAACTTGTAGGTAAAAGAATTGAATGCAGTAGATGCATGCTTAGAAAATGTTAAATGCCTTATTCTTTGACCAAAAGAAGAATTCAAAGTATTTCAAAGAGAACAAAATACCATTGTGCACATTAACCATTACAAACCCAATTGAAAAAATTTATAAAACTTTTTTAACAAGAAAAAACCCCATACTTTTCCTAATAAATGTTTATTATGAGACTATAATAACAGTCTCAGTGTGTTAGTCAGCTTTTCATTGCTATACTGAAATACCTGACACAAACAATTAAAAGGAGGAAAGATTTCTTTTTTTTTTAATATTTATTTCTTTGTTAGACACAATACCTTTATTTTGTTTATTTAGTTTTATGTAGTGTTGAGGATTGAACTCAGGACCTCGTGCATGCTAGGCGAGCACTCTACCACTAGAATATTCATTTTTATTCCAGCCTAAAACTCAGACCCAGACCCAAGGAAAGATTTCTTTTGACTCATGGTTTCAGAGGTTTCAGTTCAGAATTGACAGGCTCTATTGCTTTGGGCCTGAGGTGAGGCACAATATTGTGGCAGAAGGGTGCAGCAGAGGAAAGCTGCTCAGCTGAAGACAGCTAGAAGCAGAAACAGAGGTAGAGAAGAAAGGGCCAGGGACAAGATACATTCCTTAAAGGTATGTGCCTAGGGACCTACTTATTTCCATGCTCCACCTGCCTACAGTTTCCACCACCTCCCTGTAGTTTCAAATTATTAATCCTTCAAATGGATAAATCCACTGATAATGGTAGAAGCTTCATGATCCAACCATTCTCCAAAAACTCCACTTCTGAATTTTGTTGCATTTGGGATCACACTTTCAACACATGAGCTTTTTGGGGACATTCATATCCAAACCATAATAGTTCACCTAAATGATTTCAAAATGAATTGAGGCTACATGAAATAATGTTTTTAAAATACTTAAATGGTACATAAGTACCCATTTAAAAGTGAACAGAAATAATACTTTTTATAACTCATACCTTGGAAGAATTTTAATTCTTTTGAAAAAGTGTCATAAGTGATCCTATGAAGTTTTGCTAACTAAAAAGTTATTGGTAATACATTATCATACAGCTACTTCAGCACCATTGAAAAGTGAAATATAACAGTGTGAAAATGCAGTGAGGAAGACTAGTAAATATTATTATGAACTTGGTCCAAGAACTGAGATAACCTTTAAGATCTTGTCAATATAGACATATTAGGGCTATTCCATTTGAATTCTAAAATGTACAAAGGTCCAAAGAGTTTTCTTAATCACTCATAAGCACAGTTTATCCTAAATAATTCTGATGGCTATTTCATATGATTAAGGCAAAATCAGTTTTCCCACAAAAGTCCATAAAGCTAATGGAGTAAATTCTCTGCACTTTTGATACAGCAATGATGGTGATTATTCTGTATATGGCGTCATTGTGATCCATTGCCATATTTTATTATTAACTGCTAAAAACAAACTGACACATGGAGGAATAACTACTATCTTTTCGGTACAGACAGGTAAATGTCAAGTTTCTCAGTTAAATCCACATGAAATGAAAGTTGGGATACAAAGTGACATACTGGGCTTTCCTCTAGTTGTATTTTATTTTTATGTTCAGTTGGAGAAAGCATTCTCTAAACAGTCAAGTCTGGCTTTCTGAATGAGACATGTACTAGTGTTTTCTATGTAGCCCTTTGCTTTCTCTTAGTGGGACACATCAGCTGGCCCTGGCCACAGTCATTACCAACCATGAAAGGGTTGCTATGAGAGAGCATGGTGACCAAGCCAACTCTTCCTCAACAAGAAGTGTTTAAGGCATGCCACCTTGGGTGAACTTAGCAGGCTCTTAAATTATGTGAACCAGCTGCTGGGAGATAGCCAGTTTCTTATGGAATTTATTTTATCTTTCTCTATCCACTTCAGTTTTCTAGTTCCCAGTGTGGATCTTTGGTGCCATTCTAGTTGGACTTCAGTCATCCAATCCAGTGCACAGAATATGAGATATAATTAAAAATCATTAAATATTTAAAATCATTAATACCCCCGTTAAGCTTCTATAAAATGATACTGTAGAACAAAATTATAGCTTTAAATTCTTTCTTTCTGCCAGTCAAGACGTTGACAGAGAGAAATGTCTGTTATTACATACCTGAGGATGCCTGTAAGTATTCCTCATGCACATTGAAAATAGCAACCACAAGAAATTGCATCAGCTTTCCTAATGTAAATAAAAGTTGGTTACATCCATGTTTCAAAGAGGAAATTAAAGCCCTGTGTTCACTAGAATATTCATTTTTATTCCAGCCTAAAACTCACAGCATACAAATAGATGAATTCAGCTCATGAGAGAGCAAAGCCAATTTAATCTCTGGCTCCCCTGAGGTAAATGTAGTTCACGGTCCTGCCCCCACCCCAACCTCTGCTATAATCCCTGGATCCTGGAGGTAAAAATGCATTGAAGTGAGGAAAATTCTTCAGCAGGATATAATGATCCAAAATGACAGGGACAATAATGACAATGAATTTCATGTCTCCCAGTCATGAGCTGGAGATGCTTGACTAGGCTGACTTACACAATTAAATTGTTACAGGTACAGCAGGAGATGCAGTTAGCTGTGCTTTGGGGAACGATGCCTCTGGCAAAAGGCAAATTGTGGAATTCAGATCCTTTTGTTAGGAACAAACTATCACTCCTTTAAGCATGTACCCTAGATGATTGTGCACTTTAATAAAAGAAAGCCTGGGTAAAGACAAGTCTTTTAAGGTGTTGATCTGTCAACTTTAAAAACT